CAGTGAGAGAGTGAGAGTGAGTCACTGAGTGAGGCAGTGAGAGAGTGTGTGTGCGGCAGTGAGTGAGTGAGGCAGTGAGAGTCTGTGAGTGAATGAGACAGTAAGTGTGAGTGAGGCAGTGAGAGAGTGAGAGTGAGGCAGTGAGAGAGTGTGTGTGCGGCAGTGAGTGAGTGAGGCAGTGAGTCTGTGAGTGAAGCAGTCAGAGTGAGGCAGGAAGTGAATGAGAGTGAGTGAGTGAGATGGAGTAATTGAGACAGTGCGAGTCAGTGAATGAGGCAGTGAGAGAGAGAGAGAGTGAGACTGAGAGTGAGGCAGTGAGTGAATGAGAGTGAGAGTCAGTGAATGAGAAAGTGAGTGAATGAGACAGAGTGAGAGTGGGGCAATGAGAGAAAGTGAGTCACTGACTGAGGCAATGAGAGAGTAAGACAGTGAGTGAGGCAGTGAGTGAGTGAGAGTGAGTCACAGAGAGAGAGGTGAGTTAGTGAGAAAATGAGAGAGGGAGAGTCACACAGTGAGTGAAGCAGCGAGAGCGTGAGGCAGTGAGAGAGTGTGTGTGCGACAGTGAGTGAGACAATGAGTGAATGAGACAGTGAGAGTCACTGAGTGAGGCAGTGAGTGAGCGTGAGCAATTGAGTGAGGCGGTGAGAGAGTGAGAGTGAGGCAGTGAATGAGTGAGATGGAGAGAGTGAGTGAGGCAGTGAGAGAATGAGACTGAGTGAGGCAGGGGGTGAGTGAGACAGTGAGAGAGTGAGAGTGAGGCAGTGAGTGAATGAGAGAGTGAGTCGTATTTGTGTAAAATTTAAAGTATTTAGTGTTTGACCTATTGGGTCTCTTGGGTTGGTCAGTATGACAATTTCCACTGCAGTCCAGTCTTTACATTTGATACTTTCTGAGAACTTTGTGACTGTTACACTTATTACTGACTGAAGTAATGCTTTCATGAATGAAACTGATTTACTGGGATTAATACTCTGTATGTTCACATCAAATTAATGCCTATTGGTAGAGATAGGTACACCACACAGAATGTCAAGATTAGAAGAAAATTAATTTGGATATATTTCATCAAATCAATGAAAGCATAATTGGTAGGAGGTAAATATAAGCGGTTTCTATAATTTTCATTGAGAAAAACAAAATGCATCAAAATGACGCATCCTGTAAACCTACTGTTAAAGCTAGCATGCCGCTGTGCCTATGCTCGGGTACCCACCTGTAGATTCTCAGACACAGGTACCGATCTCTGTCCCACCCCTGGGACTGCCAGTACCACACACAAGACAACAGATACTAGAGAAGCTGCTTCCTATTCTGACACTTGCTACCTCTCATGGCAGGATGGCCACTGACCTGCATTTTAGATAAAGTAGTTGGCCCTCAAACAACACAGCTTTTGACCTGTGTGGGCCCAGTTCTGTGCAGGCTTTTTCCCCTTCTGTTGTGGTGAGCTCAAGTGTTGCAAAAACCCACTGAAGAATACCTTGTAACACTGATCATAGCTCCCTGCCATTCACCTGCCTGCAGCCCCGTTGGGTCCCCCAGTCCTCTGTGGATGGCCGTGTAGGTGGTGTCCACCCTTGGGCAGTGACGGCGAGCGTTGCCGTGAGCATTGGGCTGAGGGTTTCTGTTGTGCTGTCAGACGTCGGGGCATGTGTATCTGAGTGAATGAAGGGTTGAGAGGTGTTGGGGCCATAAGGTTCATAGTTTCATGTTCAATTCTTTGAAGGACCTGCCTGTGTTCTGCCCAGGGCCTGTGTACTCGACCCTCCACAGCTATGGGTGAGGAGCCCCATATTTGCACAGTCTCACTAAAAAGCACAACAAAACCTGTTCTCAGGTTTGGTTTGTTTGGGGGAGGGGGGTTAATCACTGCTTTTCTAGCGAAGGTGAGGCTGTCCCTTGTTAGGGCCGATGAAAGGGAGCCTTGGGGATGCTGGGGATGCTCACCTCAAGATCCCTGGTTGAAACCCACCAGCCACTCCAAGGGGGAAACCTGAGGCTGGCTGCCCGTGAAGAGTTAGAAAGTTCTGGTCTCTGACAGAAGGTCGATGAGAGTGGGACTCGAGCCCGTGGCAGTGGGGGGAGGTGCTAGCTAATGAAGAGGAGCCCTGGCAGCTTGATGGTTAAGTTCCTGGCCACTAATCCGAAAGTCAGCCATGCAGATCCACCGGCTGCTACATGGGAGAGAGGCCAGGCTGGCTGCTGTCGGGAAGGTGACAGCATTGGAAACCCTACTCTGTCCTGTAGGGTCCCGGAGTAAGATTCGACTCTCTGGCAGCAAAATTGCTTTTTGTTCAGTGCTGTAAAAGCATTGGGTTTTTTGGTTTGTTTTTTACTGTGGTTTTGGAGTAAGTTTACAGAGCAAATTTGGTTTTTATTTGACACTTTACACCCATTTTGTTTTATCAGTTTGTTCCTCCAATGCCCCAGTGCTCTTCCCTGAGCCCTTCATTCCTGCCCCAGTTCGCTTTTTGAGTTTTGATTTGGGACAGTGCTGCTCTTTAGGTAAGGTGACCAGATTTTAACATTGGTAAAGCGGGACACCATTGATAAAACTCATATCCTAGCAAAATAGCCACATGGCAGCCGAAAACCATATACCCGAGCTTGTCGTGCATTCTTTCCAAAAATCGGGACTGTCCCTCCAAAAGCGGGGGACGTCTGGTCACCTTATCTTTAGGTGGAAGGAGCACATTCCTCATGAGTGGTTCGGCTGTCTTTCTAGGGTGTTTGGCTAGGTGGTGGTCATCAAGGATGGTTTTCCATCTGCATATGAAAGGTGTCTAAGGGCCATCATCTTGGGGGTTCTTTAGGTGTCTTTCAGATCAATCAGTGTATGTCTGGCCTTTTTATAATTTTGAATTTGTTTTATGTCCATCTCCCATTCTGTCCAGGACTTCCGGTGTCCTGATCAGAGTGGTCAGAAGTGGTTGTGGTCGGGTGCCCTCTAGCTCTTCCCGTCCCAGGACAGATGAGGCTCTGGTTTCATGTGCTGCATTTGACTCGTTGTGTCCTTGGGTCATTCATTTTGCCCGTTTTCCTCTACACCAGCGGTTCTCAACCTGTGGGTCGCAACCCCTTTGGGGGTCAAACGACCCTTTCACAAGGGTCGCCGGATTCATAACAGTAGCAAAATGACAGTTATGAAGTAGCAACGAAAATAATGGTATGGTTGGTGGGGGGGGGCTCACCACCACACGAGGAATTGTACAAAAGGGTCGCGGCATTAGGAAGGTTGAGAACCACTGGTATAATCTCAAGGCTCCTTCTCTTGAGGTGCTTGGTTATGTCTTTGAGATGTTTGCATCACTTTTCCTGTTTGCCTCTACTATATACCTGCCTGGATGTAGTGATAGTATATACAAATATTTACAGCATATGCAAATAAGTGAGGATAGAAATACCCTCAGCCGCCAGATCTCTGTAAGTTCATGGGTGTAGTCCCGTTTGCCTACCCTTATTCCTATGAAACAATAGTAATGATTGCATTTTACTCTCTGTTGACTTCCCACATATCTATTATCTAGTAACTCCCCCTCCCACCCATCAAAGAATGCCTACTGTGTGTAACCCGTTCCTTGAGAGTTGGGGTCCTGGTGTAACTGAGTGCTCAGCATCATGGCCTCTGGGTTCAGTCACGTTACGAGGTGTTTCGTGGATTTGTCATTCTGTCTCCAGCATGGTAAGGAAGCGCTACCCCATTGTTTATACCAGTGTACAATCCACCAGCGGCGTGAGGGTTTCAGTCTCTCCACACTCTTGCCGACATCTGTGGTTTTCTGTTTTTCAGTTTACTGTGATTGCTGGTGTGGATCTCATTATGGAGACTCAGTGCTCCCTAAGAAATGGCATTGTCTCTCGCCATCATCCTGCCCCTGGTGACTACTAAAGTGGGATTACAGTGGTTATGTGTGACTGACTCATTTCATGTGGCACAGTGTTTTTGAGATTCGTCTCTGTTGTAGTGTGAATCAAGACCTTTTTTTTCATGATAGCTGGTTTTCCCTTGTGTACATGATGCATTTTGTTAAAAGTTTAGTGCTCACCTTTTGGCTTGTGAATAACGCTGCAGTGAACATTGGTGTACAAGTTGTTTGTACACATGGAATTTCCAAACCCTTTTCCACAGTGGTTATCCCATTGTACACGAGCAATGACAAGAGTGATATAAAGAATTTTATTTTTTAGAGCAGAAAAGAGCATGTACAAGTTAAGTTTTATCAAATGTTGGTACAAAGTAATCATGAAAATTAAGTTTACAGCATAGTTTGAAATTACTTCTATAGTGTCTTAAATAGCCAAAATAAGGCCTTTTTAAAAAGCTGCCCCAAGGAAGCATCGCTCATTTGGAGCTTACACCACAGTTGTTTACTTGCCCATCTTTGGCAATGTTTGTGTCTTTCAGAAATCGGAGCCACATTCTCTCAGTAATGAGGCCTTAATGAGAAGGGCAGTGTCTTTGGTAACAGACAGCACCTCGACCTTTCTCTCGCAGACCACGTATGCACTGATTGAAGCCATCACCGAGTACACAAAGGTAAGTGGCCTCATCTGCACTGAATCCAAGAGTCGGCAAACTGTCTACAGACTAATTCCCAGCTGCTGCCTGTTCCTGCAGTTCCCTCTGAAAAGAGCTAGGCTTGCTTCTATCTTGTCCTTGATTCTACTACAGTAGCAGAGTTGAAGCATTCTGACAAGAATCCGGAGCGCCCCCAGAGATTTTCGCTCTGGCTTGCTTTAAAAAGTTCACTGTGCCTCGATCTAAAGCACCGATAGTTTAGATCCCCTAAAGTCAAGGTTCCTGGGGAAAACACTACTCTGCAGCCCCGTGTGTAAAACAGGGGAGCCCAGTTTATGGTAAATGCAGGGCCTAGACACCAGTAGCAGCCATCTCTGAGGTCAGCTGAGAACGACCACTTGGACCTAACGGGAAGTATTGCCTCCCTTCTATTGAGCTGTCTGTTCAGTCACTTGTTTCCCAGGCTGCCGTTGTCCCCCTGCTTCATGTTCTCCTGTCTGAAGGGTGCTGGGAGTTGTAGTATTAAATTAAATGTAGGGGTGAGGGTCAGCCCCAACCCGCTGCTATAATATACTACTACCCACGGGTTCAGTAATGGTTGAGATATATAAGTATTGTATTAGTCATCGAGAGCATGAGATATTACAATAATGCAGTCAGACACATTACATGGTAGCATTGCTCACCTCAGCCCAGCTTGGTGGTGGACGGGAGAGGAGAGGGGGAAGAGAGAGGGGAGGTGAGAGAGATTAGAGAGGTCTGAGAGCTCTATATTACTGACCCATGCCTATATATCTTTTGGGGGCATGCCAGCCCACTAATTACAGGTAGAGACATAAGTCACAGGAAGGGGTTACATTATAGGTTACACAGCAATGAGAAGGGTGGTCTAGGGAGTGGTCTCTGGGTCTCCATAGGAACCATTATCAGTAGGGTGAAAACTTCACCTACAGGAGCCTGTCCATTGTCCCCAGAGGCAGGGAGCAGGCCCACCCCTGTGGTGGGATGAGACAGCAGTCTGGCAACTGATTGCCCTCAGGAGAGGGAATGCCTGCGCATCTGACCTCCCCCCACAGGGAGCGGTGCAGTTTCAGTGAGCGTAAGGGAACTCGAAGGTCCGAGCCTCACCTATTTTAACTCAGGCCTGTTTTTTTTTCTACATTTACAGGCTGTTTATACCTTAATTTCACTGTACCGACAATACACCAATTTACTGGGGAAAATGAACTCACAGGAGGAAGATGAAGTGTGGCAGGTGATCATAGGAGCCCGGGTTGAGGTAAGCAGGATGCTCTGTGTCCGCCGTTCTCATCCCTCACTGCAGTAACTGCATCGTGAAATGACTGCTTGATTTGCAGATGACTTCAAAACAACAAGAATACCTTAAGTTGGAAACAACTTGGATGACTGCAGTTGGGCTATCAGAGATGGCAGCTGAAGCTGCGTACCAATCTGGTAGGTTACGTTTTTTTCCACTAGGGAGGTGCTGTTGACATTTCATCGAGCTGTACAAAGAGGAGCCCTGTGGGGTCGGAGGTTAAATGCTGGGCTGCTGAGCACAACGTCAGCAGTTTGAGCCCATCAGCTAGTGTTGGTGGGGGGGCGGGGGATGAGGCTCACTTTTCCCATAAAGAGTGACGGTCTTGGAAGCCCCTGGGGCCATTCTGGTGTCGTCCTGGAGGAGGGTTGTTGGAGTCTGTAATAAAAAAAAAAAAATCCCTCACAGACATCAAAGGGGAAAGAGATGGAAATTGATTGGGGCCAGGGGATGCATTGAGGAGACAGGGATTAAAAAAGCCAAACCCATTACTGCCATTCCAACTCCTGGCAATCCTAGAAGACAGAATAGAACTGTCCCACTTTCCACGGCTATAAAACTTTCTTCCGTGGAGCTGCAGGTAGCTTTGAGCCTCTGCCTTTCTGGTAAGCAGCTGGGTGGTTTCACCACAGGCATTGATGAGACAGAGGAAGAGATAACTTGCCCACAAATAAAAGGTGTTTCAGAACTTGTTCAAGCCTTCCCTTATGTGCATATGTGTAGATATTTAAGGAACTGACTTGATTGTACGGGATTGGCAAATTCAAAATCCATAGGTCAGGTAATAGGCAGGGATTTTTACCAAAAACTTACTAGGAAATTGGCATGTGAAATAAACCGTCACCTCACTTTTCCCTCACTGACCCTTGGTTTAATAACCTGTACAGTGCTCATCGAGGTGGTGTGAAGATTCAGTAAGCACAAAGGCACATTTTTAAAAAGCAGTATTGTTAACAAAGATATAGTGGGATGGTGGGGGTGCAGAGTAGAGGTGATGGTCTACTTTGAGGATTACTTTCCTCAGCTTTAGGAATGAGTCTGCTACATATGGAATCAAATGGTTTTTAAACGAAAGTCACTGACAGAATCAATTCTGACTCTTAAACCGTGGAAACCCTGTGTAAGGTTGCTCTTCATCTGTATGGGAAGAGGTGGCCTCATGTTCCCCCCATGAAGCAGTTAAGAGTAGAACAGTTGGGTACCTCTGTAGAAGCACCTTCGAGTGATGCCACACGGTGGTGGGTGGGAGCCAGGTCCCCAGGGGTACTGAGCAGTCTCATGGCACTGCATTAGGAATGTTCCTCAGGCAGCCTTCCACACGATTCTGAGCATCTTTAAAAAATGATTTTTTAAAGAATAAGCAGAGTCGGAATAAAGTATGAGGGGAAATTCTATTGTCTTCTCATTCCCTTTTCTGTAAACTTTTTAAAGCCCCCTCGTATACAGAGAAACTAGCCTTGTACATCCCAGCAGCATTAGATGCAGGATAACAATGAATCACTAACCTAGAATTTTAGATCCAGTCAACTGCCATTAAACTTGTGATTCTAGACTCCCAAGTTTTTCACCCCCAAGCCATTCAGACACAACAGTAATGAACAAAATAACTTTGTTAAACATGCTTTAAACTAAATTGGTTTTAGGGAAAAGTGAAGGCCTATTTAAGCACTCCAATACAATCAGTAAGTAGAGATGAAACTCACCCTCTGCCGTCCAGTCACCCTGTCGGGCAGAACAGGACTGCCCTTCGCAGTTGCCAAGGCTGTAAATCTTTCTCCTGTGGAGCAGCCAGTGGCTTTCAACTGCCGACTCTGCAATTAGGAGCCTTTAACCTGAGGTACCACCACAGAGTCAGGTCCAAGAACGAGTTGAAACATGTAAGTAATAACAATAGCTAAGAATAAGTAAGTGGCACTTTATGCTTGTGATTAAATAAATAATTCTAGTTAAAAGATGAAGGTTGGTAATTATCGGTTCAGTGAATATTTTTCTGCCCTTCATCAATAAAAGCTACAAGAGGTGTTAGAGCAAAATGGTGACATACGGTGCTGCACCCGGCCCCCCAACTACTCCAAGCAGTGTCGGCAGCATCTAGAGCGAAGCCCCCACTGAGAGAACACCCACCACCTAGGGGCGATTCTGCAGAAGGAAGGGCTTCAGAACGTCTATGGGAATGGAATTAAGATAATGGACCTCACCACACTTTTTTTTTTTGGGGGGGGGGGCTCTTACAAATGTATAGCAATTCATCATTCAGTGGTAAGCACGTGTGTGCATATGTTGCCCTCAACAGTTCCAAAACCATTTCTTTCTACTTGAGTCCTTGATATCAGCTCCTCTTTCTCCCTACCCTTCCCCCCTTGTGAAACCTTGATCAATGATATATTATTGTTCTTTCACGCCTTTGTCTCCCTCTGTCCATTGTCTCCCTTCCCCACACCCTAGCCTCATGATATTGCTCCACAAATTTTTTGAGTCTCAAAATTTAGGCCATAAAACAAGTCTCAGTAAATTTCAAAAGAAAAATGGAACTAGAGATCAAAAGCACAGCATACCAAAACGTACGGCATGCCACAAAGGCAGTGCCCAGAGGGAAATTCATAGCTGTAAATAAATGTCTACATCCAAAAAAGGGGCTTTTTTTGTCAGCAGATTTTTTTTTTTTGTCAGATTCTTAAGACTGAAAAGCTATGTAAAGACTTGGTCAATATGCTGGGGGAAAAGTTTAATTTCTGCAACAGAGAGAGAGGCAACCAAATTCTAAAATTGGCAGAGAACCTGAATAGACTACTCCAAAGGAGATAAACAAACAAAACTGCCATTGATAGGATTCCAATTCATAGGAACCCTCGTATATAGGGTTTCTGAAGCTTTAAATCTTCACAGACACAGACAGCTGCTTTAGTCTCCCTCAGTGCTGCTGGTGGGTTTGAACTACTGACCTTATAACTAGCAGCCCAATGCTCACCTGACTCCATGAGGTTCCACTCCATTCTCACTCACTAGGATGGCTAATGGTGAAGAAACAAGAGATGTTGGCAAAGATGTGGAGAAACTGGGTCCATTATTCATTGCTGGTGAGAATGTAAAATAAGTCTACTGGCAAACAGACAGTTCCTCAACAAGTTAAATGTAAAATTACTAAATGAACAGGAATTTCACTTTAAGTGTACACATGAGATAGCAAGAACACAAACAGATCACTATACTCTAGTGGTCACTGTCACTCATAAAATGACAAAGACTAGGATCCCACGTAATATGAATTACCTAGAGGATGCAAGAGAGGTTGAATTTGTCATGTTACCAGAGGTAGGAAGGGAGTCTGGGTGCTTAGGTGAGCATGTCTATCGGGGAACGAATCAGGGTGCTGGCTGAACACAATACATCACTAAGCTGAAAAGACTAGGTGGAAATTATACAAATGTCAATTTTCTTACTCTACATGTATTTACCACAGTAAACAAAAGATAGGTACAGATAGAGTTACCATATTAACATAAGGAAATGATTAGCTCAGATCACATGGATCACATGAATCTGAGACCCTAAGACTTAGATAGTGCTTAGTTCCCGTGGCTGACAACTGACGGGGGATCACCCTAGAACGTCCTGTAGAGTGGGGGAAACTGGAACATCCTTCCAAATAACACACGCCTGGTCTTACTGGTCTGATAGGAACTGGTGAAAGCCCAACAACAGAGCCCCTAGACTCCTTTCAAGCCTGGACCTGAACTCAACTCATGGGCCAACTTTGAACAAAACCATAGACAGACCTGTTAGGGTCAACACACACCAGGGAGGCATACACTTCGCAGAACAATCAACCTTACAAGATCAAAAGGGCAGCACTGCCCAAGAAGAAACACCTGTGGACGAAGCGAATGTGTGTGTCTTGGAGGGAGAGAGAGAGGGAGGCAGGATAGTTGTACATGGACATTTCACAACTTTGCTGTAACTATATCCATGGATGTGGTGGGTGGAACACCAGAGGGCAAAGTTAAGAGCACCTCCTGCACATCATGAGGCACCTTGGGGAATGAGTTTGAGGGATCAGGACCATAGTCTCGGGGGACACCAACGTCAGTTGGCATAACCTAGTCCACAAAGCCCCCATCCTACTTTGGTGACTAGGGTTTGAAAGCTGTGAGCAGCTTTCTCCAGTGCAACAATTGGTCTGTCCCTGTCCAAATGTAAGAGGAATGATGGAAATCAAAGGCAGATGGAACTATTATCAGTCCAGCAGACTAGACCACTCTGAATTCAGTCTTCATGACCCGGAGACCAGAAGAACGAGTTGGTTTATCTGGCTCCCACCACCAATTGCTCTCAAATCAGGATGAATTAGAAGGTCCTGAAGAGAATGGGAGAAAAATGGGGAACAAAATTCAGTGTCAAGCGAGAGACCAGGCGTGCTGGTCAGACAGATGGAACCCCAAGACTATAGTCCTTAGCCACCCATCAGATCTTAAACTGAACTCACCTCCATGGCTCCGTTGTCAGGCAAACAACAGTGAGGTGCGCACATCTTTGAGCCGCGGTTCTCCACCTCCCTAATGTCACCACCCTTTCATACAGTTCCCATGTTGTGGTGACCCCCCACCATAACATTGTTGCTACTTCATAACTGTCATTTTGCTAGTTATGAATCGGGCGACCTCTGTGAAAGGGTCGTCGACCCCCCCAAAGGGGTCGCAACCCACAGGTTGAGGACTACTGTTGTAGAGTCATGACCCATTTGAGAGCAAAGGGCAGTATTGGGAAAGGAGGAAGAAGTGTGGGGTATGTAGGGTTACATTGTGGGCATAGTAATCTGTGACACGAAACAAAGTGTATGTGAGTTGTTACATGTAAAACTGATCTGCTCTGTAAACTTTACCCAATTTGCAATAAAAGTTGGCGGTGGGGGGAGCTTTAGCATCATACCGAAAATTAAATAACTAGAGGTGTGAAGGGAGGGCAAAGTGGAACCCACTGTTTAGGGCTGTCTACGTTTATGTTCATGAGCCCAAATGCCATGTTGGTAGTTGGCTCAGCTGCCAACTAAAAAGTGGGCCCTTTGAGCATCAGTGGCTCCACAGGGGAGAGGAAGCCGTCATCTTCCGGGGCGATACAGCCTGAGAAACCCTAAAGGGGCCAGTTCTCAGTCCTGTAGGCTTGCTTGGTTGCTGTGATTCACTTAGTGTGCTTTGGAGATTTTAATGGTGGTGATTGGTCAAAAAAGCATAGGGATAATGGTTGCACATCAAAAAGATGACAGAACAATATGCTAAAATCACAGAAAGAATCAGGGAAAAAGGCATTAAAAAGGGTCCAAGAACAAGAAGATCTCAATTGTAAAAAATGTGTGCCAACCAAGTCCAAAATGCAAGGAGCAAACGTTTTATCTTTGAAACGCATAGATCAAGATGACCAAAAATGAAAGCTGTGTTAAAGGACTTGGAAAGAATCATTAATTTATTTTCCTTAGGGGTAGGGTTAGACTTAGGGTTAGACAAAGGATTAGGGTTGAGAATCATTAATTTCTATAAGCTTGAAAGTATTTCTTGTGTGTGTGCACACACAATACAGTCCATGTGTGTATGACATTGTGCATATGATGGGGCTTCAAAACAGTCACAGAAAAACTCCATTTTCTCAAGAACCCTTTGGAAAACCCCCTCTTTATCCCTCAAAAGAAAATACATTCTTTGCAAAATCAAACTGCACGAAACTTAATTTTGTCCCATATGACAAGGGAATGTTCAATAAATTGCATGAAAAAGCTGACATACTACCTTCACTGACTATATATATCATTTTCTGACACGGTAGAAACGCATAGGCCAAAAAAACTAACAAGTGGGAATTTGCAGGTATTCTAAAATAAAAATGTACAACTGTGATGACAAATTGCATGGTAGGAGCAAAGAAACCACTAACACACACACCCCCCAAAATGGTGGCAGAAAATGGGTAACTGTCAGTAACGACACAAGTGTAAATTGATTAAATAATAGTACACCAGTCAGGAGACAGAAGCAGAATGAATAAGAAATACACCTTCGACGACAAGTCAGTGGGATAAAATATATCGAGCTAAGAGCAGTCAGAAAGAAGGCCGGGTGCAAGGGTGGTAATATTTATCTGAGAAAATGTGCCAGCACCAAGCCTCGAGAAGCACTTGGGGCACTATCGAATGACTACGGAACAGTAACGAGAGCGGGAACACAACACTAATAAAAGGAGTCTTCAATACACAACTCTCAAGGAAGGCCAACTGGGGAAAAAGGAAGATAGAGGAGAACTAAGAACCTCTTACACATGCAGAACACTTCACCCAACACTCCTTTCCAGCACACACGAAACAGCCTGCCGAACACACCATGTGTTAAGCCACACAGCAAGCCTTGATACATTTGAAAACATGGAGATGAAACACCTCACTGACATGAATAGATTTGGACAATGTTACACTGAGTGAAGTTAGTCACAAAAGGGCAAATAATTAGTGATACACTGAAATGAAAAATAGTTCACACCAAAAGAAACAGGTTTTGATAGTTAACAGGGCAGGAGAGAAGGGAGCAACAAGCTAGAGGGAGCCAGGGGTGGCCTTGGGTGAAGGGAAAGAGAATAGCCTACACAAGGGGCAGGAGGGCAGGGGAAAGCGAGTGATGGGAAGGTTAGGGGAAAGTGTTTTAACTTGAACACAAATGATGGGGAGTGTAAAAGCCTCCACCTAATTCACAAGTTAATAAAAGCATGTGAAGTAAATACAAAGAGTAGCAATTGTGAAGATCAGACAGGTGAGGACCGTTCACATGAAGCAAGAGCAAACTCGGTCTAAAGCAGAACACGGATGACACCTGGAGGAGGCCAAGATTTGAGATGGTTACAACTTGGGAGACAGCATGAAATCAACATCAAGAAAGGCGTTTTAGATGTAGACCTGTGTTTTAATTATAGGGGACTATTATGAACTTCCTTTAAACCCGAAACCGGTCCATACTAAGGCGGGAAGCATCTACAGAGGATGAAACAGTATTTCTGAGAGTTTGTGCCCCCCCCCAGGCTCAGGCTGTTTGGGGTGGGGTGGGGGGTGGAGTCTTAGTACGTCTTCAGAAACACAACTGCCATGTTACAGAATGTATATACTGGGGTTTGTAGACAATGATGACATTTTCCAACTATTAAACATTTTTGAAAGCCAACGTAACAACGCTGATTCACGAATGAGCTGGGACGGCACCAGAAACCAAACTCAGACCCACTGTGAGTCAGTTCTGACTGGGGAGACCCTTTAGAGCAGGGTGGAGCTGCCTCAGGTGAGACTGAACACTATGGGAACAGATGGCCTTGTCGTTCTCCTGAGCAGCGCTCCTCAGGACGGCACCCAAAGTACTCCAACACAAACCCATCGGCCAGAGTCTTCTACAGAGGCTTCAGGTGTCGCTTGCCCCACAGCCCCCACACACACAGGTGTGCATCACCTATGACGCAGTGAACCGTGGGTGTTGGGAGAAAGCACACAGACTAGTCCCTGCGGTGGCGGCGGCCCCGGGAGGAGGAGCAAAGCCGCCAGAAAAGGGACTCTGAACGGGACGGACAGAGATAAAAATCTACTTACTGATGAGCCACGGGAACCATTTCTTTCTGGGCCAGGAGTGGGGGGAGGAGGGGTACCCCGACGAGAGGCAGCACTGCTGAAGGATGGAGAGCAGGCCCGACCTGTGGGTGTGCTGGCAGGCGGCTCCTCATGGTGAGATGCCCTAGCAGCAGATAATGGAGTAAGGTAGCACATTTTTTAATAAAGGGGGTGGGGGGTGGTGAAAGCAAATGCAGAGTATGTTCAGTGAGGAACTTTAATGCCATTATGTAAATTTCTAAGTATTTCCTTGTCTCCGCAGTCCAGCTATCCATTTTCAGAAAGAGGGAGATGCCCACCAGAGGGCAGAGGCAGCCTCTGAAGGTTGGGAGGGCAAACACTTCTGTTTGAGTCACTCAGGCCTGCGCAAGTGTGGAGGGAGAAGGCTGTGGGGCGGTAGACTGGGGGTTGTGACTGCAGTTTAGCAGGGCCCTGGGGTGCTCTGCTCGGTGGGGAGGAGGCCAGAGCCACCTGGGCCCTTCAACTGATCTGCTCTTGGGGCTTCCCCTCTGGCAGGAGCAGACCAGGCCTCCATCACAGCCCGGAACCACATCCAGCTGGTGAAGTCGCAGGTGCAGGAGGTGCGCCAGCTCTCCCAGAAGGCAGAGACCAAGCTGGCGGAGGCACAGACCGAGGAGCTGCGGCAGAAAGGCCAGGAGGCAGGGGGTGGTGAGGTGGTGGAGCCGGAGCCTGAGGCCTACCTGCGCGAGGACTGAGGGCGCTGCCAACACCACTGCAGAGCGTCTGTTGCCTGAGCGAAGCCGGGCTGAGTCAGCTGTTGGAGAGAAGCCTCAGTGCCAGCCCCTCCCCTGGGGTCTCCAGCCCATCTGCCCCTGGTTCACATTTCACCCCATTCAACTGCCCTGGCTCCGGAAAGCATCTCGCCAACCTGGCCACCAGTTTAGTAGCCATTTAACCTGTTTTCAATCTTATTTGCGTTTTCAAATATGATTTAGTAGCTGCTCCTCCAAAGGGCTGTGAATGGGGGAAGTGAAGTGTTTCTAAGGCCACCTCTGATTAGGCCCCACTGCCCCAAAGACAGTTCAGGGCAGCAGTGGCCTGTGCTGTGGACCTAGGGCTCCCACAGGACCCAGGCCACCACCTGCCTTTTCAAGTCTGTTGTATCCAAGGGAAAGAATTTTTTTGCATTTGACAATCTGTGTGTGTATGCGTACGTGTATCTCTGGGCTTCCCTCCTCTACCTCCCAGAATGGCAGAGCCCCACGGGCCCTGCCCCAGGTTCCAGGTCACGGAAGCCCCATGAATACATGGCAGTGCAGTCAGCCAACCCTGGGATTTTATTGGAGGGTGTACAGAACAGAGCCGCCGCCTGCAGGCCAGCAAAGGGCCCTGCCTCCCATAGTGGTGGGCCATCTTCAGTGTCCACCGGATGCTGCTCAGCCTGTCCCTCGAGGCTGGGGAGCAGCACACTGGAGGCCCTCGTCGGTCACCAGTGCCCACATGGACCACATCTCCACAGGGCTGAGGCGGTGCACCAGCAGGAGCCCTCGGTACAGGCAGGGGTCCAGGGGGTCCAGGGGCCTCCGAATCCCAAACGTCTTGAAGCCTGCGTGGTGCGTGGGGCTGATGCCCAGTTGCTGCAGGCACATGCCTACAAAGACATCATCTATGGGGAAGAGCTCTGCCGCCTCGGCGGCCATGTGCAGGCGACGCACTGTGGCTCTGGACATGATGTAGCCGCCACCCCCGGCGTAGGGTGGGTAGTGACGCGCCCTGTACATGGACGGGGGGATGAAGTATTTGACCTTGGTGTTCCTATTGGGCAGGGCCTGGCAGATGACATCTCCCACCAGGAGGTCCTGGCCTGGGTCCCGGCCATCCAGAAACTCGAGCATGTTGGGGACATGGACGAAGACATCATCATCTCCCTTGAGCACAAACTGGGCCTGGGGGCAGGCCTCAGCCAGCCAGCGCTGCAGGTGCAGCTCCTTGAGCGTCAGGTTGAAGAAGTCCTCAGCGAAGCCCCACTGCAGGATGTCCCCAAACTCCCGGTTCTCATAGGCTAGCAGCTGGGCAGGGGGTGGGGGTCCCGCTACCCCGAGGAGAAACACCAGCTTCAGCGGTAGACCTCGCACCCGGCCCCATGTGGCCCGAATGGCTGCTCGCCGCTCCACATGGCCTGGCTGTGATTTGATGGCGAGCAGCAGGAACGTGTCCTCCGCACAGCCTGGAGGCTCCAGCAGGATGGAGAAGTTGCGGCAGTGACGATAGGTCAAGAAGAGGCGGTGGCGGCTGGGTAGGGTCAGGGAGGCATTGGCCACCATGTGATTGGGCAGACACTGGCTGTGGCGGGGTCCAGGCGAAGCCCAGAAGGGCTGGTGAGCCACAGGGCCCCCCACTGGCATGGTCTCCTTGCGGATGAGCAGGCGGCTAAGCAGCAGCACAGCCAGGCTGTAGAGTGCCAGCCAGCCCAACAAGCGCAGCATGGCTGTCCTGCAGGGAAAGGGTGGTGAGCGCCCCGAGCTGTTGGGGGGGGTGGGGGTGCGCAGCAATGTGCCCCAGCTGCTTTGGGCTTCCCTCTAAGCATGAAACCTACCATCTGACCAGCTCTCAAGTCTAAAGTCACACTCCGGTGTCCCTGTGTCAGATGTCTGGGTGACACACTCAGACCAAGATGAGGCTGCAATGGCCAGCGTAAAGAGCACAAGGTCCGCCATAGCAAAGCCAACCTTCAAGTCCCCATTTTGTCTTTTCAGTGCCCCTGCCCTGGGACCCCCTCCCAGCCTTGGCCTGGCAGGCCAGACTACCCACTTTACTCCCAGTGGGCAGTTTATGAGACTGACAGGGTCCCTACCCACAGAGATGAGGTAGCCCCAAAAGAAACAATACCCTCAAGCAACTGCTCGGCTAAGGAGCTGAGATAGTGCAGCAGCATGAGGGGACAAGGAAGGTGGGCCAGGGCTGGAGGGAGGGAATGACCCACACAATCGGGGAGAAGCTAATCTGACTAGCAGTGTGGATCCACCCACCTGTTGGACCGAGGATGTTCTTTAGACTGGTTGCCTCATGACCCAGTCCAATGGGGGGGGACAGGCAACAATCACAGTGGGCAAGGAGCAAGAGGGTATGGGAAGGTGAGGTGGAGACAACAGCAGGGCAAAAGTCCAAAGGAAGGGCATTGGCGTCGGGGGTGGGGGGTTTACTGGAGGGCTCAGCAAGGAAAGTTTGCTGAGGTTGAAGTAGAAGGCCCAGGCGAGGCCTGTGGCTTGGATGGGGGCGCGGAGGGGCAGGTGAACACGGTGCCATTGGCCGACAGCTGGTGGTTCAGATGGGTTTGGAGCCGGAAGGGCCCTTAAGAGGCAGCTACACAAGTGCAAATGGCCCGGTCCCCAGACCCCGCAAGCCCCCATCACAGGGACTTTTAACCCAGCCTTCCCGAGCCCGGTCCATCCCTCGGTACCACCACCACCACCACCCCCATGAGCCAAGCCGACCCGCCTTCCTAGCGGGGTCCTCCAGGCCCTAGAAGAGGGTGGAGATGGCGACATTCCGTCTCTGGTCGGCCCACAAGGTGGGTAGCTGGGGGCCACGTCAGCGAGGACACCCGACCCGCACAGCGCGACCAAGGAAACACGACGCGGGAGACCGGGCGCCCAGGTGTGCACACAGGTGTGCGCGGCTCCCCAGGGGGGGCATGGCAAGGCGCAGGCGATCCCTGTCTGTGCAAGCCCTCGCGTGAGAGTGAGCCACTACCCCCGCCCCGGGGCCCAGACAGGCGCTCCTGGGCCTACCTGAGTGGAAACGCCAGACCGGCCAAGGCCAGGGCCATGCAGCGGAGCGGGCCCCGCGGCCCTGCACGCAGCCTCCACCAGGCCGAGCCCCGCCCCCGAGAAGCCCCGCCCCGGCGCGGTCCCCTGGGGGCCGGGGAGGGGCTTCTTCACGGGCGGGGCTCCGGAGGGCCAGCTCCCCCACAGCAGCCAGCCCGCTGCGCCCGAGTCCAACCAGAGCAGCCGCTTCTCCCCAGGAGCGCCCCGCGCGGCCGCCAAACAGACACCCAAGCCCGCTCTGGGAACAGCCTTTAAGGAGCGGCCTGCCCTAAATGGAGAAGCCCTTGAGCGCCTCCTCGGCCGTGCGGCACTGGTTCAGCTGGACGTGCACCTCCACTGTCAGCGGCTCGGGGATGTGGAGGTCGCCCAGCGCCAGGTCGACCCTCTTGGATTCTGCGGGAGACAAGGAGCCGGATCCTGAGCCCTCCCCGCCCCGGCTCCGCCCCACCTGTCCCAAGCACTTGGGTGCACCTATAAGTCGCTGGGTTTGATTTAAAAAGCAACAACAAAAATCCTCTACTTCGGACCAGAGGGAGTTTCTCCTAGGTCAAGAAAAGGAGCTGTCCAAAGGCTGGGCCGCCGCCGCGTCTAGTGCACAGTTGCAGGGGCCCTGGTGGTCAGTCACTTGACCGCTCCCCAGGTCAGGAGCTGTCCGCACGCCAGTTTCTGCAGCCCCACACTCACCCTTCTAGCGGAATCCTTTCCTGCATGGGCCTTCTTGTCCAATCGCCTAAATACCTCCCTAAACGGCAGTTTTGTCCCTCTCTTTGAGCTTGACATAAATGAAATCAATTGTACATATGCTCTTGACTTTTTGGCTTCTTTGGTTTAAAGTTTTTTTCTTCGTTTTATGCACACTTATAGTTAGCTGTAGTTGGTTGATCCGTATTGCTTATTAATATCCCATGTTTGAACGCTGTTTATTCATCCCATCACAGATAGGCATTCATTCATAAAACACAAACCCACTGCCAGCCAGTCGGCCCCACAGCACCCTGTAGTACAGAGAGCTTCCATAAGGCTTTTGAAAGGACTCATCTTACGGAGGGGCAGACTGCTTTATCTGTGTCTGCCAAGTGGCTCGCGGATTCCACCCAACCTTCCAGTTAGCAAGCCAATGTTTTATCCAGCACGCCACTAAAACTCCCTGACTCAGCAGTCCTCTGGGTCAGGGGAGACTGCCCCTGTGGGATTCTGAGGCTCTGACTTTACAGTAGCAGAAAGGCCCATCCATCTTTCAGTTGTGAGCAAGCCTCTCATAGACACCTACAAGGGCCTGAGTGCAGAACTGCCCAACCCCCCTTCAACCTGTCCAAACAACTGAACCAGCGTCCACTCCCACAAGCAGGCTGGGAGAAGGCAGCTACTCTGAGTTTGCCATTCTGTTTCATCACAGCCCTTCCAGTGGGTGCAGATGGTTAACACACTGCCTAAAGGCTGCAGTTGGCATCTACCCAAAAGCACCAAGAAAAGCCTGGTGCAAAAACCCAGCATTCAGACCCATAGGGACAGAGTTCTGACACACTCCCAATGTGCCTGGGCACGGGTGGGCCTTCCCTGGCATCTCATTGTGGCTGGGGCTTGTACTCCTTGATTTTGAATGAGGGCAAAATCCTATGTGTATCATCCTCTACAAAAGGATCTCTTGGTGAGGAGCCCACTACTCAACAGATTCTGTAAGGGCTGTGCTTTGTGATTTCTAGAGGTTCTTTACATATGCGAGAGCTGAGCCCTTCACTGCTACTGACCAGTGTGTATTGCAAATACCTTCTTTAGCTTGCAGCTTCACGGTCTCCTGTCCATTGTGTTAGTTTTTCATGGTGGTCAGGTATACTTGAATGTGAACTGTACCAGTCTCCTGTGGGTACATGTATCAGAACGTGGTCTCTCTTCCAGGCAGAGTAATACTCCACTGGGTGGGCACACCACACTTGGTTACCATGGTGACTCATCCTCTACCAGGTGTCTGGGGGCTGGCCCTTTTGGACCACTGTGTATGGTGGTAATGTGATCTCACCTTAGGACTCATCTCCCCATCTCCCACCTCTGCTTCCAAATTAGAAAGCCCACTCGAAAGTGAGAATCTGAAATGCGCCTATTCCAGGTGCTTCCGAGGTGGCTTACCTGCCCATTGACCAGTGTCCACTCTTCACAGGACCACCCAGGGCTGAGAAAGGGTCCTGGGTCAGAAAGCAATGTCCAGAAGACCCTATCCTGTCCCAGCCCTGAGCGTCCAACACCTGGACCACCTCCTGTCCCGTCAACCCCACGCAGGTCGCTGTGCCCACTGGGGGCTCTAGCCGATGCAAAGGTGGGGCCTCTAGCTGGGCCTGGTCCCTCCTTTTATCCCTTGTCCCCAGTCAGCACGGACCCTCAGCGGGGCCCTCAACGCCCATCATTGGCTCTTACCTTTTTTCGCTAGTTTCTTATTCTTTTTACTTTTCATGTCCTGGAGAAAGAACCACAGAGGGACCTGCTCACTGGGGTGCTGAGGAAAAAGGCGGGGCAGCTGATGCTGAGGGAGGGAGGGGATCTGGGGACAGGGGCTACCCCTTGCCAATAAGGCTGCCCTTGGCCTTGGACCCTACTTCACCTGAAACCTCACATCAGAGGACAGACGTGGGCTGAAGCCAGGCACCCGCTTAGCTGAAGGGTGTGGAGCCCGTGCATTTGTGCATACATGTGGTCCAGCCCACTGCCCTCCCCTGCTGAGCCAAGGCTTCTGGGGTCGGGTGAGAGTGAGGGCGAGGGCTGAGGGGAGTGGGCACACCCTGGCAAACATCAACTTGTCTGACTCCACGGTGCGGACCACCCCAAAGTTGCACACGGTGGACACGAGAGGTTCCCCAGCCAGCAAAGGCTCCAGAACCACAATGCCGCTGCCTAGCACTGTCAAGATGGGTGGGTCTTGGCGAAGCTCCTTAGGGGGCTTCCTGGGCCCCTTCTGTTCCTGTGGGTCAAGGAGGGCGATAGGCAGGCAGGTGGGCAGACCCAAGCCAGGGAAGGGAGCCCGTCCCTCACCACCTCCTCCCTGAGGCCAGGCAGGTACCTTGCTAGCCTGCTTCTCTCCCTTCCCCTTCTTGTCCTGGCCCTTCTTGTCCTTGTCCTTCTTGTCCTGGCCCTTCTTGTCCTTGTCCTTGCTGTCCTGGTCCTTCCTGTCCTTGTCTTGCTTTCCTTTCTTGCCTGTCGAGGGGGTCTCCATGGAGGGTGGGACCAGCGGCCAGGACAGAATCTAGGCAGAGTGGCAGTGTCAGCGTCCCCAGCTCACACCCGGCGGGAAGAAGTGAGGACCCCTGGGGGGAGCCGCAGCCCACCTTCTCCTCCACGATGGTCACCGTGGTCCCTGCCAGCAGGAAGGCCTTGAGTGGCACCAGGTCCCGCAGTGTGTGCACCATCTCGTAGTGGCAGGGGATCACGTTGGTCCACGGCTTCCGCATTGTGCTGAAGAGAACCGTCCTGGGGGGTTGGGGGTCGGGGAGGGCACGAACAGGGATGGGTGCCGGCCCCAGGCCAGAGCCCCAAGCCTACCACACTGGTCCATAGATAGAGTGACCTCTGCAGACCACCCACTTCCCACAATTCACCTCTTACTGCCCACTACCCAGGCCTGACCCAGTGCAGAGGTGGCAAGGAGGCTTGGTGGGGAGCAAGGCAGCCTCACCTGTGTCCCAGCAGGAAGGAGGAGCACTGAACCCAAATGCCTGACAGGCCCTGCACCTCCCCACGATGCCCCCTGTCCCAGGAGCCCTTACCCTGGGGAAGGCCAGAGCCGAGGATCCACGTGAGGCCGCAGTTTGGCCAGCTCCTCGGTGGCGGAGTCATTGGAGGGGACCAGGGCAGCCGAGGCGGCCCCAGAGGTGGAGTCCCCATCTATCTCCCCCGAATCGGTCATGGCACCCGACTCTGTGGAGCCGTCAGCCTCCTTCACGTCCTCCGGGGACTCCTCAGGAATGACCTCAGCGATGGACCTGGGCTTGACAATCTGTTGGGGGCAGGAGGGCTGGCACACACACCCAGAGGGTCCACCCTGGTGGCTGGAGACAGCCAGCAGGGCAGCCGGACGAATCGACACCAGGGCCAGCGCATGGACCTGGGCAGGAAGGTCCCACACAGGCCCTTCACAGTGCTTCTGAGAGCCCCGTCAAGATGGAGACCCCAACTTGGAGGTGAGGAGGGTGCCCTTGAGTCATGAGGATGGACGAGCAGGATAGGGTGGGGAGGGCACGGTGGCCGGACCCTGAGGGTCTGGGTGGCTTCTATGAGAGACCAGATCCTGAGGGAATGGGGGCAGTGGTACGGGGGTGCAGCTGAGCCTGCTCTAGGAGAGGCCGGGGGTACACGTACCTCTGCCAGCACCCCGGCTGCGTAGTTGCCCTCCTCCTGCAGTTCCTCATCCTCCACAAAGTCGTAGGTCACGTAGTAGCTGTAAGTGATGAAAGGCCCCTCCGGCCCTGGTTCTGGGTCCAAGACAGAAGAGTCCAGCACGCCTGTGACATTCCCAATGGTCACCACCAGCTGGGCCTCATGCACTAGCAGATCTGTTAGGAGCCAGAAGCCGTGGGGACAAGATAAAGATGACAGTGAGTGGGGGGCAGTGTGGTCTAATAGTACCCCTTTTGCCGAGCTCACCCGACTCTGGGGCTTCAAGGCCCAGCTCTGCCAAGGGCAATCGAGTGAGCCCTGTTCATGTCCATTTTTCCAGCCTGTGCAGGCAACGTGTGAGCCAGGGGTCTGGGTCCTAGCATGTGTGAGACCTGGGCCCTTTGTACCCCTTCGGCTCAGCTTGGACTCATCCTTCGGCCTGAGTCTGGGGGAGTCTGAATCCCTCGTGCAAGCACCCCTAGTAGGCCCAGGCGGCAGGGAGGGGGCGGCGAAGTAGCAGGGAAGCCCAGGGAGGCTGCACACGTGCCATCAGCGTCACAAGGCAAAATGCGCAAGAGCCATGGAGTGGACAGCTTGGTCTGCTCGCCACTAGCACAGGCTCCGAACACGATCACACGTGGCTGTGACCCCTGACCTCAGGATAGTCTCGTACTGCCTGTCTGCATGCTTCCCGGGTCTGGGGCCCTTGCCACACCACACTCCCTACCAGACGGCTAGAGCAGTTAGCTCCTTCCCCGGGGAGTTGTGCAGGCCAAGGGGGTAGGGCACGAGCTGTGTGCATCTGTGCACCCCCACCCCACCCCACCCCCCACGGCTAACTAATACCCTGCAGCCCTGTCGCTGTCCAGGGGTGGGACAGGCGCAGAGGAAACCATGGAAACAGGGTCGTCAGAGTCACTATTGGACACAGGCCATGCAGAGGGCCAATCATTTCCAGGCAAGCCCCAGGCCCTGAGCAGTACATGGGACTGTCCACCAGGGGGTGACCTCAAGCCACCGGCCTCAAGCCAATGGACCCCAGGGCACATTCTGAGTAGGTGGGCGGGGGTGGGGGCGGGATGGGCTTCTTAGCCCAACTCCCACCACAGGCATCAAAAGTAGACATGGGGGCAACAGGCTGCACCTGCATGGGGGAAGGGCGGGGTGGTGACCAGGAACGGACAGCACATGTACCCAGCATGCTCACCTGCGTTGACATTGAGTCCCCGGAAGAGATGCTTCTCATTGGGGGACACGGTGGTGTCGTCGAGCACGCAGAGCCGAGACAGGGTGTCAATGGTGAGGCCACGGTAGTAGGGCACTAGGGCCAGCGGGTTCCCCTGCAGCACCAGGAGCCGCAGCTGCCTTAGGGAGTGCAGGCTGCCCACCAGGCTCTGCAGGTCTGTCAGGTTATTGAAGCTCAGGTCCAGGGAGACGAGGTTGGGCCTGCGGGGTATGGCAGGGTCAAGGTCAGGCGGCACAGCGGGTTGTGCCACACAAGCCCACGCCTTCGCTCTCTGTGGCTCAGTGCCCTGGCTTCTCCGGATCGGCCAGACTCTCCTCACCCTTACACATTTTGGTGCCTCCTTGCTCATCTTATCCAGCATGCTTTGAGAGGCCATCCTTGATAGATTTTCACTGGGGAGTGGGGGTGGGGGCATTGGGTGTCACTGATGCTGCCATGTCTTTCTCAGAGCCACTTAACCCAGCATGGCCACCACCCACTGTCAGTTCACTGCCCCGTGGAGGCTGGCGTGTTGCTGGGATGCTGGACACTATGGCATTCGCATGTCAGACACCCACAGGGTGAACAGGCTTCAGGGAAGCTTTCAGACCAAGGCAGACTAGGGAGAAAGGCCTGGCGATCTTCTCCCACCCAAAATTAGCCCATGAAAACCTTCTGGATCTTCACAGAATGCTGCGTGCACTGGCGCGGGAGCCCCCTTGGATGGCAGACATTCGCAGTACAGAGGGCTGGCGCGCCCCACCAGCCACCGAGTTTCGTTCTGCTGTGCATGGGTGGGTCCACTCGGCCATTACCAACACAGCCCCCGCCCGCCGAGGGGGCCAAGTCAGCACCCCACAGCACGCTGTAGTCTCAGGAGCCGCCACACGTGCAGGTGAAACAGGGAGATGTCGCGGGAAGTTACAACTTGGAGCTGTTTGAGATGTTCCGGGCCGTCCCAGGTGAGGGTGAGGTGCTGCAGCCCCCAGTGAGTAGAGACATCCTTCGACGGACAGGGAAAGCCCCCACCACAAAGACTCACATGGCCCTAAATGGCGACAGTGCCAAGGGCTGGAGACGCCATGCATGCCGAATGGGGCCCTCAGAGCCAGGTTCTGACCACTCCCACCACCAGACGTCCTCCCTGGGGGGCAGTGGGATATCTATACTGTGCCCAGAATAGAGCCTAGGTCCTGAGAGCAACAAACTAACAAGCGAACTCGCTGCCATTGAGTCGATGCCGACTCGGGATGCAATGGTGAGTTTCCAAGACTGTGGAATAAGGAAGCCTCGTCTCTCTACTGAGGAGCGGCTGATGTTCTCAAACCACTGACCTTGGAGGTCCCACTCCAACACATGACCACCACCGAGGCCCCAACCCAGTCTGTGGTTATGATCAAGGAGGGCAGAGCATTAGCATTCTTCACACTGCCAGCGTTATAGTCTCGGGCACATGGAGGTCAACTGGCACCATACAGCCCACAACGTTCCACCCCCCCACGTCTGACTTGTAAGCTTGTGTACGTGTCTCTGTCCATCCCGAGAGAATCAGAGACTAAAGGAACACTTAGTTCACAGGATGAATGGGCCACGTGACTCACAGCCTCTGCTAGCCCAAGACCAGAAGAACTAGATGGTGCCCTACTGCCCTTACTGGCTGCTCTGATCTCAGTTCCCAGGGACTGTCTTGGGCAGAATGGGAGAAAAATGAAGAACGAAATGCCAACAACACATAGAGACTGCGGTCGGTCCGTAGGCACCCTTCAAACCTGAAGCTGAGCCCACCACTCTGAAGTCACCTTTCAATCCAGCAACAGACAGGCCTACTAAAGTGAACCGTAACACCTCTGAGGACTGTGCTCCCCATCAATGGGCTGCAGGACGCTCAGAGGGCAGCATGTGCCCAAGACACAGGGCACCAGCCCACCTGCCAGTGGTGAGTACAGAACAGAGTGGGTGAGAAGGCAGGACCCGGGCAGAAGAGACACCGGGGAACCCAGGGAGGGAGAGGACGACGGCTGCTCCCCGAGGGGGCGGGGCCAGTGTCAGAAAGCACAATGCATGCGGTCAGTCGTGGATGGGAGATGCACTTGCTCTGCAAGCTTTCCTAACAATGATCTGTTAGCAAACAGCTTTTAAAGCTCTGCACAGCTCCACCTTGCTCCCCCCACCCCACCCCCAGTTACGTACCAGTGGTGAGCGGTGACATAGAGACTCTCCAAGGGGCCCAGGAGCTTGTTGTGGCCCAAGCCTAGGTGCTGGAGGGCCGGGGGTGGGTGGACGCACAGACAGTCCATGCTGGCGATCTCGTTGCCGTAGAGCTCCAGCACCTGAGGGTGACAGGGGGCCGTGACCCGAGTGGGCACAGGGGCCACACTGAGGGTGCCCTCCCGCCGATTCCTGGAGACCTGGGACGGGAATCACGACGCTGGAGGCCACCCACGCACTCTTTAGGCGACAAGGAGCAGAACCCGAGGTTGGCCGGGCTCTGGGTTTTTTCTTGAGGATGGGACGAGCCGTGTGTCTGAGTCCCATCTGCCACCAAGTCACCTCTTGTCATTCAAACGGAGCTGCGGTTGCGACAAGGGGCTGCAAAGCTGGCCTCTCCTTGAGCAGGGTCCCGGTGGTGCTGCAGGCTGGGCGCTGGGTGCTGTGGAAACCCACCTGCCGCCATACCCCTTGGGCGAGCTAGGAAGCTGTCTGCTCCTGTTAAGATTCATGGCCTCAGAGAGCAGTTCTCTGTCCCAGGGCGTCTCAGCGGCCAGAGACTTGGTGGCATGGCCATAAGTCTCAGCTCTTGGGACCTTTAAGAGGGACCCTGGAAGCTTCAAGTCACCCCAGAGGGCCCTCAGAAGAAAGGCTTGGCGGTCGTCCTCCAAAACAGTGACCCACTGAAAACCCAGGGTGCCCTGCTCTGCTGCCACATCAGGGGCTAGTCAGCGGGCACTGGTGAAGGGCGCTGGGCCCTCACCTTGAGAGTCGGAGGCAGGTTGGCAGCATTGATCACCCGGATTCGGTTGGCACTCAGCACCAGCTCTTCAAGCCTCTGGAACTTCAGGAGGTCTTTGTCCACCTCGCTCACCTGCAAGGAGGGGCCAGAGGGAGGGAAGAACTCCTGTGCGCAAGGGCACCCACCCCTCCTACCCCTAGTACCACTGCAGAAGGCCCTGTGGTCTCAGAAATCCAGCAGCGCTATATGTTAATTGCCCAACCCACAGCAAGTCCCCTGCCTTGATGTTTTCAATGGACAGAAGCCACACGGCGGCCGGCCAGGAGCCCAGGGCAGCTGCCAGCGGCTCCCAGGGTGATGGAAGGAAGGTGCCCAACCAGGAGTCATGTGGCTGTGCTGCTCGGTAGACAAGCTGGTGACACAGAGAGGGAGGGGCAGGACACCCTCCCCTCTCGCTTCCCATCCGTCACTACAGGAGAGATTAGGCAGGAACCACACCATGGAGTACAGCATGCTCATGCCACTGGGAGGGAGGAGGGGCAAAGGGCAAGGGTGGGTGGGGAAGGTTGTACGCCCCACAGAATGTCCTCGGTGCCGCGAGCTGAGCGTGGACAGATGTCAGAATGTCTCAACAATCAAAAATAGCTCTTGGGAAAAGGAAACACTCACTCTCCTGGCCCACACAGGGAGTGAAGCCACTGGGCGGTGGCAGTAGCTGCTGTCTGGGACCTTTCTCCCGGCTCCACCTGGGCTGCTCCTGTGTCTCCCAGACACCAGAGCTCAGGGTCTCTGGGACGGTCCCTCCAGCCAAGGCCACAGCCACCCTGCAGCACCAGCCGGGCTGGGGAGAGCGCAGGGCACTGGCATTGCACCTCCGCTGAAGGATGGGCCTTTTCTTTTCTTTTTAAAATCATCCTCTTGGGGGCTCGTACAACTCATCACAATCCATCCATCCATCCATCGTGTCACACACATGTGTACACGTGTTGCCCTCATCATTCTCAAGACATTTTCTTTCTACTTGAGCCCTTGGGATCAGCTTCTCAGATTTCCCCTCCCTCCCTCCCCCCCATGAACCCTTGATCATTGATACGTTATTATTATTTCCTCATGTCTTACACTGAGGGAAGTCTCTCTTTACTGCATCCTAACCCACTGCCTTGGGTCAAGTCCCAACTTGGGACAAGTCCATAGGATGGCGCCCACCTGCCCCACAGGGTCCCGTCCACGAGGCCGTCACCTTTGCGGAGCTGCTGTCTGTCATGTTCTTCTCCTGGGGTGGGGCTGGGGGGCTCCACCGTCTGGCCAAACTTTTTGGTTGGCAGCTCAGCCTTAACCACTGAGCCACCAGGGCTCCTTAATCCATCCTACAAACCGAGGCGAGGAGGGCCCAGGGGTCCAGAGAGGGAGCTGCCCCTGGTGCACATTTTGCCCTCAGCGAAGCCACTAATGGACCCTCTTCCGAAGAAAAGCTGGCTGTCATTATTTTAGGAAACAGTGGGGGGCCAGAGCTTGTTCTCCTGCAAAGACCTGGCCACGGACGCCATCCACAGGAGCCCAGGCCACATCACTAGCCACGTTCAACAGCATTGACAACCCGGTCCTGGAACACGGTGGCCCTGAGGGGGCCCGCCCCGTTCTCACCTCCTTATCCACCACGCGCAAGGAGCGGAAGTAGGAGTAGAAGAAGGAATCTTTGAGCTTCAGTGGGTTCTGAATCGCCAGCTCCCTCAGGAAGCCGTCCTCCGTGCTGGCGCCGGGCGGCGTGGCCCAGGGCGACTGGGGGCTGCGGACAAGGCCCAGCAGGGCCTCCACCGGCTCCTCCTCGGTGCTCAGCGTCTCCTCGTCTCTGGGGACCAGCCCTCGCCATGTCCGACAGGGTTGAGGAAGGAAGCGAGACTTATTCTGCAGAGGTGGGGATGGGGGAGCATTTCTCTGTGAGACCTGGCCTTGGCTGTGGCGTAGTACAGTGGTTGAAACATGGGGCTGCTCACCACCAGCCGCTCTGAGGGAGAGAGAGGTGGCAGTCTGCTTCCACAGAGACTTACTGCTGCAGAAACCCTCTGGGGGCAACATTGGTACCTTGTCCCAGAGAGTAGCTGGGAGTCAGAATAGAGTTAAGCACTGAGGTTTGGGGATGGGTGAATTGTAACCCCCCTCCGGCCCCCACAAAGGATGTGGCTATAGCCCTGGGCTCAACCGTGACAACTGTGAGGATGGCTGGGGGCCGGGCTGTGTGCACGTGCTGTGCACAGTCACTGTGCATCAGCACCCGACAACGAAGACGTGCTGAGTCCTCCCCTCCTGCATCTTGGAGGGTGACCTTATTTGGAAACAGGCTCCTTGCAGACATGCATAGGTAAGAGGGGGTCATGAGGGTGAGCTAATCCAGAAAACAACAACAACAAATCTGTCATGGAGGAAGTATGGCCACGTGGTAGTTACATAATCTGGTGTCACCTTGCAGAGGGCTGGAATCTAGCCTTTCAATCGGGTCGCAGCTAGATGACCTCATTTGGAGGCACCACAGAGATAAATAGCTCACTGGAGGCCAGAAACACAGATTCTCTGCTTCGTCTTCCTGCAGACAAGACACATGGAGCTACACTAGAGCCCTGGAACAGGAGAAGCCACGTGGAGACCCACGCCAGCACTGAGATGCTTCGTGTCACTGAATCCACAAAACTTTCCACCCACTGGCCTGTGATCTTCCTGCATTCAGCATCACTGCATGTGTTGTATGAGTCTGAAGAATTTATAGATTGGTTATCAGGCATGTGGGCTAATATAGGACTTATGGGCTTGATCTGAACTGGCTGGGCTGTTTCCTCAATATACAATTGCTCTTTTATAAAAAACTGTTTCTTATACACATGCGTCTCTGAATTTGTTTCTCTAGTCAACCCAGACTAACACCGGCCAGAATGCTGCTTAGAAGTGAGGATGGGGTGGTGGTGGGGGGTGCGGGGTACAGTGGGATGGTGGGATGAAAGGGAGATGATATCAGAGAGTCCAGGAAGAAAAAGAATGTTCGGAAACTGACTGTGGTAGCAACAGTATGATTCTGCTTGACGTGATCGAACGATGGAATGATGTATGTATGAACTCCCAAAGGACAATGAACTTAAAAAGTGAGGAGGGCAGGGTTAGTCTCACTCACTCTGCACACATTTCCAAGAAGGGCCAGTCCCTGGGAAAGGCTCTCATGCTTGGTCAAGTGCAGGGTCAGTGAACAGAGGTGGACTCACTGCAACATTAGGCTCATGCATAAGGACTGTGAGGGTGGTGCAGGACAGGGAAGGGTCCTGTTGTGGCACATGGGATTTCTCTGAGTCAGGTCTGACTCAGTGGTACCAAGCCCTCCCCTCCACTCCCCACTTTGACTAGTGTCCTTATGAGAACAGGAGAAGACAAAATGATGAGGGAGGCAGAGATTGGAGGGGTACAACTCCAAGCCAGCAGATGCCAAAGAGTGCAGACCATGCCACCTGCAATGGCAGATTTCCCCCTAGACTGGCAGTTCTCAACCTGTGGGTCTCGACCCCTTTGGGGTCCAATGACCCTTTCACAGGCATTGCCAGATTCATAACAATTGCAAAATGACAGTGATGAAGTAGCAACAACAATAATTGTATGGTTGGGGGGTCACCACCACGTGAGGAACTATATGAAAGGGTCGCGGCATTAGAAGGTTGAGAACCACTGCACTAGACCCTTCAAACACCCTGATTCCAGACTTCCAGCTTCTAGAATCCTGAGAACATCAATTTCTCTTGTTTTAAGCAGAGCTTCAAACTGATTCAAAATGGTTCAATCATTGCCTTCCTTACAATAGCACACCAGCCTGTGTGATCATGAGGTGTCCGCGGAAGAGGTGTCAAAAGTTCAAAACCAAGCAACCAAATCGATGTGAAGGGGTGTGGATGTAGTAGAGACCCAAAACCCACCTGTAAGATAATTGG